TTAAAAATCTATAAAAATATTATTTATAATTTTCTTCTTTCTGCGAAGTCTGCAAGTGGGTAGAAGGACTGTTTGCTCGTCTGGGTAGGAAAACTGGGGCACTGGGGGTTGATGGCAGGGGGAGAGAACACATGCGCAGAGGAGCAAACAGCCCCTCTGCTACCCACCCTGTCCCAGGCCCATGTGCCCTACCCACCCCCAAGCTCTCTCCAAGCAAAGCATTCCCCAGCCTGCAGCAACCATCAGCAAACAGGAACAATCAGGGGGTGCTATGATCCTGGCATGAAAATGGCAGTCCCCATAATGATCAGGCCATGATATTAGTGAGCTGGGTGTGCAATTTAAACCAGGCCTTAAACATCAGTAACACAAGCTTTATTAAACTGTCAATCTTCCCTCAGAGAAAAGGAACGGTTCAACAGTTTCAGAAACCTGAGATTTCCTTGTATATCTCCTCTTCAAATATTTTTGTGAGATCTGATGACACCACAGACCAAGGTTATATGGCTGATGAGCAAAATTAGACAATACAGTTATTTTTGTTTGTTTTTTGAACTACCGTGGTGGAACAGATCACAAAAGATAATATACTGAATCACATTAGAAACTTTACTTTTGAAAATTATCAGCCTTCAACAGTTGATAATCTGTCCTTAGAGAGAAGGGTTTCATTTATTCTGTCTCTAAAACCATAATTAGAAAAATCTTAAATAAAATATTCTCTTAAGACTTGTACCAACCTAAGGAGATTATATTAGGGAATATTGTTCTATACTTACTCCTTGTAAATTCCCTTAATTTCATCACAGTCAGTTTAAAACTCAGTCTTAGTTTCTGGGATTAAATGCATCATGCCCCAATGTACTAATATGGTGACTTTTGTTGATACTGTCTCTGGCAGTAATGATAATTTTGTCATTTAGGTTTCAAACTGTAATACACCTAATGAATTTAAAGCACAGATGGTTCAAAAATATAATTTTGTACAAGTTGTCCAGTGTCTAAAGTTTCATGATACTTGTGATTAAATGATATTTAGGCAGCAGGACTTATAAGAGACCTGAATTTTTGCTGGCATTAGCACATGACCTGTTTTCAAATGTGCTAACCTTACTTCTTGTTAAATTTAGGCTTAATTGTAAAATTCTTCTTTTAACATATACATCTCTGGATAGTCTTAACAAGATTGTTACTACACATCTTGGAATTGATTTCATTATAAATAGAGAACTTATTAGACTTGATGATACACTTTGCAATGTGGTCACAGAGGAGACTGGAGAAAGCAATCCTCTATTTTTGTTTCCTAAACCTGAATTTAAAATTCTTTAATTGTGATGGATTTTATGTGGTTGTTTAATTTTTTCGCAATAAAAAGAGCACAGATTATTGTTTATGAATATTTAAGTACATGCTTGAACACAAGAATATTTATTAGGAACTCCATAACATTTGGTAGAAAACAATAGGGTGAATGATAGTGCCAAAAACAATACATTTATTTTTATTTTCCAAAACATGACCTAAAAATGCTGAACAGTATTTTAAATAATTTCTGAGAAAAATTACCAATATTTTACTTATAGGGGTATAGGTTGTAGCTGTATTGTTCTAACAACATTGGCAGACAAGGTTCTTTGGGTAAATCTGGCATCTTTTATTAAACCAACTTAAATAGTTGGAAAAAATTCTTCTTAGCAAGCTTTCAGGTATAAATACCCTTCATCAGGCTGAGGAAGCATCTGTAGTTGGTTTGTGCTCTTCCTGGATGGAGTAATAGAATGAATAGATGGAATATTCATTCCATCCTGGAAGAGCATACACCAACTGCAGATGCTTCCTCAGACTGACGATGGGTATTTTATATCTGAAAGCTTGCTAAGAAGAATTTTTCCAACTATTTGAGTTGGTCTAATAAAAGATATCAGATTTAACTAAAGAACAATATTTAATTTAGTTTTTTAGAACTGTTGTCTTTAAATTTATTGTGCCTAGTGTTTACTGTACCTTTATTTGAAGATGTTACAATTTAGACCCTTCCTTTATGTATTCAAAAAGAAAATGTATGATCATGAATAGCTATAAAATTACAGCTATTATTATATATATACACACACACACTTTAAATGGGAAATATTATTTAGCAAATGAAAAACTAGATTCACGACTAGAATTGCTTTCTTTTTTCTCCATCTGAAATGTATATGTTTTAGCCCATTATAACAATGGTAGATTTAAAAATCAGGCAGTATTCCATTCTTTTTTAACTGGTCAGGTGGTTTTTTTGTTCTATATGAAAGCTCCTTCTTTAAAATAAACTCATAAATATGTTAAATCTACTACACTCTGATTTCAAGTACAGGCTTTTACTATTCAATAGGTAAAGCACTGGTTGTTCACATGAAACAGTATTTGTCAATGTCCTTCAAAGTGACCCCATCCCAAGATATGGAAGGCTCAAATGAAAGCACTCATTTTAGGCCAGAGTTTTGACTCACCACTGCATTTCTTCAGTTTCATATGGCATTAGCCTATTTTCAGTCAGTGAGGTCATACCGATGTAAAACTGCAGTAATATTTTCATTAACTTTTTAAATGTGAATTTGCTTGGGACATGTGAGGATGGCTGCATAACGTAAAAAATATTTCTGAAGGAGAAAGTTAATTTTATAGATGTCAAACTGTCACTCTAGAGTCCTACCCAAACCACACATAAACCTGAAATATTTTTCAATGAAAGACATTAACTTTCCAAAGACTGCCTATGTTTAGCCTGCATATACCATATGCCAGTAGAGTCAGAAAGCATGGAGAACTAAGGGAGTAGATCTCTAAACCATGGGTGCATCTATACATGCTGTTAGCATGGAACAGTAAACTCTGGCACATATCATGCTGAAGTTTTTTGCTCCCAGGAACAACATTTGACCATGCACCCAAGATCGCAGCACACTGAGCCAGGTCGGAGCAGCCTCAGCTGGCAGGGGGTTGGGGGATCAGTCTGCCAGCCCAAAGCTGCTCTGACCCGGCTCAAGGTGCTGCAGAGGGGATGGCTGGTGCATGACGGTGCTCCAGTGACAGGTTAGCCAGCAGGCAACCCCCACACTGAAACACCCTCATGCCCTAGCCTGCCCTGTCAGCATCTACATGTGCACTGCTGCAAACTAAAGAACTCTGCTGTAGGATAGTACTTGTAAATACAAGTACTTATATTTACAAGTACTAACCTTCAGTGAAATTAATTAGTTCCCTGCAGCCTAATAGGGCTGCATGTGTAAATGTTGAGACTTTACTGCGGAGCTAATTAGGCAGCTCTGTAATAAATGTCTTGTGTAAATGAGCTCCGTATGTGTGCATAAACTACTACTAAAACTGTATAATCAACCCTGTCACATGGGTACAAGGCATAGCACCCTAACCAGACCCAGGTAAAGTGGGGGGACAACAGAAGTCAGTGTTGCAGCCAGCTGCTGCAAAGGTTGTTGAAATAATTTGAGAAATCCAAGGAAGAGGTCCACATCCCCGTTACAAAGGAAGTAAAAAAACCCCACAATCCATACCACTCTGACCTAGGGATACAATTCCTTTCTAACCACAAACACAGTGATGGGTCTGACCCTGAGTGCAGGGGAAATGCTTTCTAGCCAGGTACCTCTAGGTTTTAGTCCCAGCAGGAACAATGGCACTGCCACCCCCCTCCCAGCCCCCATTAAGTCAAAATCCCCAGTCTGGTCTGCAGCCAACACCCGATGCTCCTATGAAAAGTAAAGAAAACCATGACATACACCAACAGGAGCACGAAAAATGATTCCTGGCCCCATGTGGCAGCCAGCAAAGCCCAGAAGCATGGGAAATACCCATAACAGGAATAGCTAGTCCTAGATCATCCCTAACCAATGCTACCCAACACCTTCCTGAATGCCTCTAATGATGGAGATTCTGCAATATCCCTAGGCAATCTAGTCCACCACTACCTTGTTAAATCAACAGAGAAGAAGTTGGTTTTTTTCCAGTCTAAACCTATTTTGCTGCAACTTGAAGCAACTGATCAGCATTCTGCTTTTAAAATAACAAAGAAAAGGTGTTTCTCCCTCTAATTTCAGGCAGAACTTCAAAAATGTGAAGACTGCTATCTTGTCTCCTCTAAATCACCTTTTCTGAAAGCTGAAATTGCCTATTTCCTTCAATATCTCCTTGTATGACTCACCTTCCAAAGCCTTTATCATTTTTGTCACCTGCCTCTGAACCTTCCCTAACTTTTTCCTTTCCTTTTTAGCAAATAATGACAATGAATATGACAGTTCTCCACCCAATAACACTGACATTTTCTGAAGCTCTTACTTGTTTGTTCTTTACAGAAAGGTGAGAAGACCAAGCAATGAATGTAAGTTTTGTTAATTCTTTTGGTTTTGGCAGCATGGGGCATTTTTCATATTTAATCCATAATACTTTTTATTCTCCCTCCAGCCTGAAAGATGAACTTCTGATTGAGAAGAATATACAGCTTCACCTTCAGCAAAGTCCTCCTTTTGTATTACTTAAGGGAAAAAAATTAAGCTAGTCCTGTGATGACCGTTATGCTTTAACAGGAACTGTTTTGAGAATGCCAAACTCAGCTAAAGACCTTTCCAACTTATGATCTCAGTAAAATGTCATTTGGAAACAACTGTCAGAGCTGGATTCAATGCACAGTACCACAATCCCAAAAAACAAAATAACAAGGCACCTGTTTTCTCCCAGATTAATTTAGATCTTACAACTATTCTAATAAATGACCTTATCCATACAAAAGCTGATGTATTATTCAAATATCTAATTGTTAATGCAGCACATACATAAAAAAGATAGTTTTCATTACAATTTTATCATAAGGAACAATCGTTCTTAATTAAGAAAGGAAGAAAAAAGAAGCCCAATAAGCAAGACTTCTATGAAAATGATAAACAAAACAACTTAACAGTTGGGACTAATACAAACCAACCTGTTTTTCATGTACTTACTTGTGTCCCATTTCATGGGCAATGGTAAATGCAAGATTCAGCCCATTGTCCTCAGCAATTATACATTTTCGTTTTTCACTGCACATTCCACTCAAATATGCTATACCTAGGAAACACAATAATCACAATTAATCACTATGTTTATTACTACTAGTAGTAATAGCAACATATATTATGGCCGCATGAATGAACCCAAAAAGGACTGGAACTCTGTTGTGCTCAGTGCTGTACTAACACAAATGACTTGAATTAACAAAGAAATAGAGGGAAGAGAGAAAAGAATACAAAGCAGTGGCAATATCATTGATTGCACAGGTTATAATGTGTAAAAAAAACTTATTCTTAAACAATGTTGTTAGGTATTTGAATAAAATATAACAGTAAGATAAGAAACATGTTATTGCTATAAGGAAAAATAAAAGAAGCAAAGATCTACAAGGCTGCATAAGTATTTCAACCGATACTTTCAGTTTTATTTTCTATTCTTCTGGGTCTTTCTCTTACATAAGTAATGCTTTACTGTTCATTATGTGTTAAGCATCAATACAGAACTCAGTGTGTAAAGTGAAAAAAGAAGAAAAAGTATACAGGAAACTTCAAATCCCATAAAAAGTATAGCAATTTTAGCAGATGGAAATCTCAGCACTATGTCCGTTATAAATGCTGAAAGAGAGTACTAAGTATCTCTGGGCACGTCTACACAAGACATGTTACTAGGCTGTTGCCTAATTTACTGTGCAGTAAGCGCATGCAGTAAATTTCCTTTATTGTGTTTAATTTGCTACCTGCATATGCAGGTAGCAAATTTAAGTGTGACTAGTTAATACACAACAGTGTACATGTAGATGCAACCTGGCACTAAGTATGCTGCAGGGTCTGCCCAGCCACTAGGAGACTGGCCTGAGGCCAGCCCCAGGGCTAGCGGCTGGGAGCTTCTCCTGCTCCAGGGCTGGGTTGCTTCACTGGCAGCCCGTCTGCAGGCTATAAAAGTTAGCAACCATCTTCTGCCCTGGGACACACAACACAGGAGCCTGAAGGTATTGCACGCCCTGCATGTCCTCCTGGGCAGGCCACAGCCCTGCTGTGCCCACAGTCACTGTTCCAGCAGTGCTGCTCAGCCCATGGCTGATGCCTGCTAAGACTGTGGTTGCTGGCTGGAGGGCTTTTGGCTACTAGCCTGTGGCTGCCAACTGCAGCTTGCTACAGTCTGTGGGCAGGCCTGCCAGCTCCCGGGGCCACCTACAGGCACCCGGGTGCAGCAGGGCCAGCACCACCTCCCTGCTGCAAACCCCCAGCAGCCCTGTGACTGCAGGTGCTGCAGGGAATAGCTTCAGCCATGCAGCTCCCAGGCCCGTGCCATGAACCTGCGCTGGGCGCTGCTGGCAGCTGCCCAGGGCCAGCAACTCATGGACAGCCGTGCAGGGGCACAGAGAGCTGGAGCAGGAACCATGATGCCATCCTCATCTCCCCCATCCAGGTCCACCCCCACCTGCATACACATGCCTGTACCATCCACCTGTGATCCCAATTGGAACCAGGAGGAGACTGGCAAACTCATGGCACTCTGGGACCATGTGGAGGTGAAGAGGCAGTTCAAGCAAGACAGGCACCTGAACACCCACATTTATGAGGCCCAGTTGGGCAAGATGCGGGAGTGTGGGCACTCCTGGTCACTGCATAAAGGTCAAGGCCTTGTGGGCACTGTGGGAGGCCATGACCGATCACAATAGTCAGTCTGGTCATGCCCATAAGACCATGCTCTTTATGTGGCAGTTAACCCAGATTTTGGCACCTCAGGACCCAGGACCCAGGCCACAGCCATATGATTTACACCAGCACAGGCAGCCTGGCCAAGCCCCTGTCCCACCCTGAACCCTCTGGTGACGTGTCACTGGAGGAGGAGCCCTCAGGCATTCAGCGTCCCACCCTGCCTAGCTTCCTGGATGCTAAATCCACTAGCAGCTCAGGGAACCCTGGCCAGTGGCTACCTCACCAGCTCTGCACCCCAGACCCTGCCATGAGGAGTGGCCAGCTATGACACCACCGGTTGTCAGCAGCACCATCTCCTCCCTGGGAGCTGAGAGCTGAGTGCCTGCACAGCACACACCATGGGCCCAGGACACTGTTCACAGCTGGACACTATCACCGACAAGCCCCCACCCCAGTCTCCACAGCTGCTGGACCTACGGCTGAATGACCCAAGATGGCTGCTCACCAGCTACCCCCAGGCTTTGCCTCCTAGGTGCCCCCACCCCACAGCTCCCCCACTCCAGGGCACAAAAATATAGACTCTTGTAAGTAATTTTGAAACTGGGAAAAGGATTTTTTATTATTGGCGTGTGGGGATAGTGGTGGAGGGGCTCTGTGTGTTTGGGAGGGTGGGGGCAGGGGCTCTTTTGTTTGAGAGGAAAAGATGGAAGGGACTAAAGATTTCTTGTTTGGACATGTGTCTGGCATGAGAATGGTGCTGGGGGTGGGCGCAGGGGGTAGGGGGTCTGTGGGGCAGGAGGGCTAGAGGGGGGAGTGCTCCATGAGGTGGTCCACCAGAGCCTCCCATACCCAGTGCCTTGACCCCCACTAACAGGTAAGCAGCTTACCTAGGGCCTCACCATGGGGAACCTACTGCTGCAGCGGTTAATGCTTCCATTAACAGGCCTCTGCCACCTGCAGCACCTCCTTTGCCCAGGCCTTGCAGAACAACTCTCCCCAGGACTCGCATATATTGTGTAGCACACAGGATATGACTATGACCCAGTGGAGGTTCTCTTTGGCTAATTTGAAGTGGGTACTGAAGGAGTACCAGCAGCCCTTGAGGTAGCCAAAGGCACTTTTGACAAAGGCACAGGTCTGCCCAGACATCAATTAAAGTGGGCCTGGCAGGGGTCTAAGTGGCCAGTGTAGGGCCCCATCAGCCAGGGCAGGAGTGGATACACAGGGTCCCCGATAAGCAGGGATGGGACAACGATGGTGCCCAGTTGCACATCCTACACTCCCAGTGCAAAGCACCCACTCTCCATCAGCGTGACCAGTCCAGGGTTTCAGAACATGAGGGTGCCATATGTACTGCCTGCTTAGCTGGCACTGACATGCATGAACATGCCCAGTGGTCAACAACCACCTGCGGGCCATGCAGTGGAACCCCCTGCAGCTATAATACATCTGGTCTCCATGGGGCGGGTGGGCCACCAGGATGTGGGTGAGATCCAGGGCCCTAATTCACTGAAGGAGCCCCAGTGCACAGAAGCCTGCCATCATTGCCTGGGAATTGCGGACACAGAGGACGGTGTCTGTCAGCACGTCCTGGAGGATGCTGCATACCTCCAGGATGGCCTCCTTGGTGGTGACCTTGCCCAGGCCAAACAAATGCCTCACATACCACAGGCTGGCGGGCGGGGCCAGCCTGAGCAGTACCAGGGCTAGGGGGGGGTCAGCAGGTAGGGCCAGGCAGATGTCAGTGTCCTCGCACTGTAGGTGGGGCTGGAGCTGGTGGTGCAGGTCCACAAAGGTGGCCCGGGTCATCCAAAAAGCTTTCACCCGCTGCTCATTGTCCCAGTTGTGCTGCACCAGGTGCTGCCACCAGTGCAGGCTGGCATCGCAGGCCCAAAGGCAGTAGAGCTGGAGGCCCAGGAGGGTGATGATGGTCCTGGTGGTGGCCTCCTGGAGCCCCTCATTGGCATCACTGGCAGCAGCAGCTGCATGGTGGCAGGAGCCCTGGGAGAGTGTGCTGCAGGTGGGCATGTGGTTGCTGTGCGTGGGGGAGCCAGGTGAGGCTAGACAGCCATGGACCAGGTGATGATAAGTGCAGCAGGCCAGCAAGGCAATCAAGGTGGCAAGCAGGATCGGAAGACTCTGTTCCTCACTGCCAGGGCCAGCCATAGTGCAGAAAGACCACAAGCATAGCTGCCATATGCTCCCTCTGTGAGTGCCACGCTGCTCCACTGAGCACAGGAACTGGCTAACCAGAGGGCACAGAGTGGGGCTAGGTTTCAAAGATGGCAGCCAAGTGCTGGCAGCTGGGCCTGGCTTCAGACATGACTGCCAGGTGCTGGAAGCTGGGGCCAGAGGCTGGAGAGCCCCTTGGTGACCACAGGGACACTTAGCAGGGCTGAAGGGACCTGGCAGAAAATTTGGTGTCAAGTCACTGCACATGTAGATGCCTAGCCAAAATCACTTACCGTGCACTAAATTTATTCATGACTAAATGCATGTGTAGATGCACCCTCTGTTATCTGAATCCTAGGTTTTCAGAGACAGACGCCCAAAGGTTACGCTCTTGAGTCCAAGTTCAGAATCTTCAGAATAAATCAGTAAATAGTGCAAAACACAACCCGTGTTATTTGAATTAGATGATTTATTTAAGAGCCTATACAAGTATGGCAGAGTCTAACTTTAGCCACTTATTTTTAGTCTTGGCCCAACCAGCTGAAGTACTATTTAATTATTTATATATTCCAAGCTTATGGCCTAATTCTTATGGATCATCCTTTCAAAGGAATGACACTCACTGGACCAATTTGTTTGCTGTCTGTTTCTGATACAAAGATCAACAGTGAAACAATGAAGACATGCGGAATTTAGTCATGATTAGCCTTCTAATGTAATGTATCACAGGATAAACTTCACTTCACTTCACTTGTCCAAATATATGTCAGTCTGCAGACATGCAGGCCTCGGCTACATTGGAATTTTGAGCATTACCTCACCTCCATCATTTGCCTGATATTCTTCTTCTGTGTAGAGCTGGGTGATTTTTACTGGGATGTATAATTTATTTGCCAAAAAAGAAGGATTGAGATGACCCAAAGGGCCAAATGCAGTTTTAATCTTGTCAACAGATTCAACACACAAAAAAATGTTTGGGGAGCAGGGTGGAGGAAGGAAGGATGGAAAAAAGAAAAAAAAATGCTTTTGACATTTCCAAAACAAAATATTTGAACATTTTTGTTTTAAATGACATTTTCAGCCCAAATGTAGCTAAAATTGAATTAAAATGTTGAGAAGAAATGAGAGACAAAAAGAGACATTAAAAACATTTTGTTCAAGTACAACAATTAAATTTTACATGTTTCTTGGTGACCCAATTTACATCATCATCATCATTTCAGC